TGCCGAAGTTCTTGTTGAAAGCAACTTGGTCTTGTTGTCAGGGCGACTATGTAGAACGCACCTAGTCCGAAGTCGTCATGATTCTCAGCATCTGGTCCAATGGACGAAGATGACGTCTTCCACTGAAAGTGTCGGTGAAACACCTGAAAATGTACCAAGCCAGCGGTCCGATGCTGGAAATGAGTATGAATAGTCTGGCAGGGACAGACAACTTGGTAGGTTCCACAAGGTCCCTCTGTCGCTCCGACCAAGTTGCAAGGTCATACGAGGTCGAATCAACACAAAGCTACCATTCGTTGGAAAATAAATCCAATAAAATAAGCAAGCTTCAACAAGGAAACAGAAATTTATTTCTCCCTCCTTTTAACGCATGCTGCATGTCCATGAAAAGACACATAAATGCCATTTCTTCATTGCAAAGTTGCGTCGAGAGGAGAGCCGATTGCGCGACTGTCTGGCGCGTCTGGAGGCGGTGAGCGAGGCGCAGGAACGTGACCGCTGCGAACTCGGTCGTCAGGCGGCGGCGTCACAGTCGGCCGAATCGCGGTTGTCCGAGGAACGAGCGGGCCTTCGGGTCGATCGCCAACGCCTTCGCGACGACCTGACCCAGTGCCAAGCCGAGTTGGCCGTAGTGGGCACTGAAGCGCGTCGGCTCGCTGACACACTGGCCCAGTCGGAGGCGAGTCGGATGCGTGCCGAGGCCGAGGTGGAGGCGGCCGGGCGTGACCGGCTCGAGCTGGCCGAGGCGATGGGCACAGCCGAGCGCGCCAAAGCCAGTCTGGCCGAAGAGCTGGCCGTAGTGCGCAGGGACGCCGAGCGGCACTCTGTGCTAGCCGCTCGGCTGGCCGGAGAGAAGGAGACCCTGGCCAGGCAGAAGGCCGAACTGATGGTGCAGGTGAGGCCGGTTGCACTTTTCTCCCACTTTCACTTGTCCCGCGCTGGTCGACTCACTTTTTCTTTCTCACTCTACTTTTATCTCTATCTACCTTTTCTTATCCTCTCCTCACTTCAGATTACTTAACTCAACTTAACTTAGCTTAGCTTTATTTTACTCTATTTTACTTTAATCTACTTTACTTTACTTTGTTTTACTTTACTTTACTTTACTTTACTTTGCTTACTTTATTTTACTTTACTTTACTTTACTTTAAATTACTTTACTTTACTTTACTTTACTTAACTTTACTTAACTTAACTTAACTTAACTTAACTTAACTTAACTTAACTTAACTTAACTTAACTTAACTTAACTTAACTTAACTTTACTTTACTTTACTTTACTTTACTTTACTTTACTTTACTTTACTTTTCTTTACTTAACTTTACTTAACTTAACTTAACTTAACTTAACTTAACTTAACTTAACTTAACTTAACTTAACTTAACTTAACTT